TTTGAGTGCATTTGGCTCTTTTGAATTTTCATTGCTTCTTTGTGCCATTCTATAGACGTCGCTAACGCGACTATAATCCGATTGTATGTAGACTCGGAGGAGAAACAGATGGACGAGGACCGAGAGTACCGTGAGGAGTACGGAGACGACTACACTGAAGGTGCCACATCCCACCCAACCTCGTAGCACCTATTACGCATGGCTAATATAGAACTGCTATTGCTTCACTTTATTGTTGTAATCACACTATGATAGGACTTGCATGGTATTGTGCTTTCTCGATGGCCTTTACCTTGACTCAACCTTACACTTACTCACCCTGCTGTTAGGCTAGACACATGCTTGCTGCTATATTTCATTGCTTATTACTTCTACTACGCTTGAACTACATTGATGCGTGGTGGAAACTGGTGTTATCTGAACTATGGGGAGAGTGTTGCGTGTGTGACTTGGGTGCGTGGAGGGTGAGGGTTGTGTCGACCAAGTTGGAATATACGACGAGCCTGGGGCAAGTCTTGCCACGGGGTGCTACCTGGGCACCCTTGGAAATGGATACCTGTGGTGGGTAAATGGTATATGAGGTGGCCCTAGGTGTGAACCTATGATGGGAGGAGCCCGGGGTGGAGGTGCTGTGGTGGCACGGTAAATGGAAACCCTGATGAAGACATTCTGGCTTGGTCATCCCTAAGGACTTACTAGTACTCAGATTCACCGGGAAGCCTTACGTACCACTCGCCCTATATGGTGCGAGACGGCCGGACTACTTGGTAGGATATTGCCACTACTGCTAGGTTGATAGCGGACAGTGCGAGGGAGGTACGGGGCGCGGAAGATTCCCCCCACACCCTTCCGAGACTTCATGGAGACCTTGTGGACCCGGCTCATGACTCACAGTTTCAGTCACCCCAGACTAGACTTGGGGTGTACCAGGGCTGAATGGTAGAGTGGCATTATCCTAGACTAGCAAGCGGCCGGAATCAGCCCAGTTGATGACGGTCAGCGAGGAAGGCGGATCTTGTGGTTATGTAAAACCTTTGTAGAGTGTATGGTTGATCGATCGATACATATGCCGACTTGTTGGCTATGGACCTTTCCTGGGTTTTGCTTAAACTATATAGTGAGATGAGTCCTTCTCTTCTCCCCTCGGGAGTGAGTGTTCGGACGTAGCCAGGGGCTATGGGCCATGAGACAGTGTTGAGAGGGAGTTGGCCTATCGACTGAGCGAGGGTGTGGTGATGATATGAAGATGGTGGTGTATCAATCCCAGGATCGAAACCTGGATCTGGACGGGAATGGGGTGGAATGGGTGTGGGATTGGTGTTAAAACTTGACCAACTATTAATACATATATACTTGATATCCTAAAGAATAGGAAACCCTAGGCTTATAGGTTCCTTTTGAATATATCCAATTTGCATCCAATTTCCACAAAGCAATGCTCATAGGGTGGGAGTGGCCAGTACAAATCGTACTGATAAATTTTGGCACATAGGTTCTATTGAGGAGTATAGCTCTGAGGAGTTTGATGGTTGAGGGGTTCATTCCTACGCTCGAGTTTGGCGATCTTATCTTCAAGCTGTTCTGAATGAATGTTACTTTTGATTCCGCCAATGCGGCGATGTAATAATTTATGTAATTCTGCACTATTTGTACTCTGATATTATCGTTGTATGGATGTGGTATTCGACTGGAATTTGGGTAATATGATCTACAATGGTCATAATACACTTCGACTCTATGGATTTCCCTTCGCGGAAATTAGGTCGTTTCAGGCACTTGCTCTTCTAGCAGTCTTGGGCATTTATTTAGTTGTGATACGTGAAACACATAGTGTACAAATAACATTTCTGGGGGTAACTCCAAACGGTAAGCTACTGCTCCAATCCTTTCTATGATTTGGTATGGTCCAACATACCGTGGGGATAACTTCCCTCTAACTTGAAATCTTCGAGTACCCCTGATGGGTGATACCTTCAAGTAGACGAAATCTCCGGGTTGGAGTTCCAACGGTCGTCTCTGAGTGTCTGCATAGCTCTTTTGTCTACTTTGGGCGGCCTTCAAATTTTCATGAACTTTGGTCACTTGTCCCTCAGCTTCCTTAATCATGTCGGGGCCAAACAGGCTCCTTTCTCCAACTTTGGACCACATTAATGGGGTCTGGCATTTTCTTCCATACAAACCTTCGAATGGTGACATCTTCTGGCTGGCTTGATAACTGTTGTTGTATGAGAACTCTACGAACGATAGGCTCTTTTCCTAGTCTTTTCCATAGGTCAATGCGCAAGCTCGTAACATGTCTTCCAATATTTGATTCACTCTTTCTGTCTGTCCATCTATCTGTGGGTGATAGGCAGAGCTATAGTCCAGTCGTGTTCCTGAGGCTTTATGCGGACTTTTCCAAAATCAGGCAGTGAACTGAGTTCCTCTATCCAAGACTATTCGGCTTGGTACCCCGTGTAATATAAGGATGTTGTCAATGTAAAGTTGTGCTAACTTGTTACCCTTGTAGTCAATCTTTATATGAAATCCATGCTGATCTCTTCCCATTTCCATACGGGAATATGCAATGGCTGCAGTAGTCCTGCTGGTCGTTGATGTTCTGCTTTGACTCTTCTACAAGTATCGCATTGGGTGACGTATTCCTTTCATTCAAGTCCACCAGTACTTTTGTCTGAGGTCCATATATATCTTGGTTGATCCTGGGTGGATAGAGTAGGCTGAGTGGTGTGCCTCGTCCAATATTAGTCTTCGAAGTGCTTCATCCTTTGGTACGCATATCCAATCGTCGTACCATTACTTCCCTTGCTCGTCGACTCGAAATCCTGAAAGTTCCTTCCTACTACTTTTCTCCTTGAATTGTTGTATTTCTTCATCCTTGTCTTACGCTTGCTTTATCTGATCTACCAAGGTGATCGTACTTGTAGCATGTTTAGAGTGCCTTGTGGTACAATTTGCAAATTCAGTTGGCGGACTTCTTGCGCTAACTCTGGTCTTCGGTTTAAGGTGGTCATGTAGTGGCAATATGCATTTCTGCTTAGTGCATCTGCTACTACATTGGCTTTTCCTTGGTGGTACTGTACACTTAGGTCATAATCCTTGATAAGTTCCAACCATCTTCTTTATCGTAGGTTCAAATCAGGCTACGTGAAAATGTACTTCAAACTTTTGTGATATGTAAATATCTCACACTTGTTTCCGATTAGGTAGTGTCTCCATATCTTTAATGCATGTACTACGACTGCCAGTTCCAAATCATGTGTTGGATAATTCTCTTTGTGTTTCTTTAGTTGCTAGGAGGTGTAGGCAACTACCTTATCATCTTGCATCAGGACACACCCTAGTCCTTGTCGTGATGCGTCACAATATACTACAAAGCTTTTGTGTATATTGGGTAGCGTGAGTATTGGGGCTGTGGTTAACCGGGTCTTCAACTCTTGAAAACTCTTTTCACACGCTTCTATCCACTTGAATTCTTTTCCTTTCTGTGTGAGAAAACTGTGAACTTCCGTCACGTTGGTGGGTTGCTTCCAGTCTAATACGGACTTAACCTTCTCTGGATCTACTTTTACTCGTTCAACGGTGATGATGTGTCCTAGAAAAGCAACTTCTTGTAGCCAAAACTCATATCTGCTGAACTGGGCATACAACTCATGTGCTCGTAGCTTGTTCAAAATTACTCTCAAATGTTGTTCATGTTCTTCGACACTTCTTGAATAGATGAGAATGTTGTCGATGAATACTACCACAAACTTATCCAATTCCTCCATGAACACCTTGTTCATCAGATTCATGAAATATGCGGGGACATTGATTAATCCAGACGACATTATGGTGAACTCATACTATCCGTAGCGGACGAATGCGGTCTTCGGTATGTCACCGAGCCGAATCTTCAGTTGATAGTAGCTAGATCTCAGATCTATCTTTGAGAAATACTTGGCATCTTTCCATTGGTCAAACATGTCATCGATTCTGGGTAATGAGTACTTGTTCTTGACGGTGACTTCGTTGAGTGACCGGTAGTCAATACACATCCTAAGACTGCCATCTTTCTTCTTCACGAACAAGACTAGTGATCCCCAAGGGGATGAGCTTGGTTGAATGTATCCTTTCTCTTGTAACTCTCGTAACTGCTTCTTCAATTCTTCCAACTCATTGGCTGCCATCCGATAAGGTCTCTTGGCAATGGGTGCAGTTCTAGGGATTAGGTCAATTGTAAACTCCAAATCTCTGTTTGGTGGCATTCCTAGTAATTCTTTAGGGAACACATCTGGGTATTCACATACAACTGGTACCTCTTCTATACTTGTTGCTTGTATGCTACAAACCATTGGTTATGCTCTAGGGGCTTGAGGGTGGCATTCTACCTTTAATCCTTGGTGGTTTATCAGGGTTACTGCTCTATCACTACAGGATATAGTGCCATGGTGTCTCCTTAACCAAACCATTCCTAGTATTATATCCAAACCTTCTGTCTTTAATACTACCAAATCTGCTTGAAATTCTACTCCGTCTATCATGATCTTTCCTCGAGGGCACTTGAGGGTGCATTTGAGGATAGCTCCAGGGGTTCGAATTAATAAAGGGGTGGGAAGTAACACGGTTCTTAAACTATTTCTAAACACAAAACAAGCAGAAACAAACGAATGTGATACGCCGGAATCAAACAACACGACATCAGGCGTTGCATGTACTTCCTCTGTATTAACGTGGTTCACATGGCCTTGCCCAAAATTTGTGGCATTCCTTCTGGGCGGTCTAGAGTTATGAGGCGCTAAGCATCCAGTTCCTGAGGCGGCTGTCTTATTGCTAGCTATAGACTGAGCAGGGGTAGAGTATCTATTTTAAGAGGGCATTGGTCTACATGGTGTCCTGGTTGTCTGCATCCAAAACAGGTATCTGCTGTTATGTTGTTGTTGTTGTTGAGATGGATGTTGTTGTTGCTGCTGTTGTTGTTCTTGTAGTTGGAGGTGGTTTGTGAAGTGTTGTTTCCGGATGTACTATACTGCATAGTCGGTTGATATTTTGTGGGTGCTTGATATTTTGTGGGTGCGGTTCTTCTTGTACTGGCTGCCGTCAGTGTAGTTGTCCGTCGTCGAGTAGGACGGATTAAACAGCTTCATGATCTTGTTGCCCTCCTGCCCTGCGGCTGCGATGAAGAGGAGTGCCAAGGTGGCGAGGAGAAGAAGGTGGGAAGCCATTGCTTGCTGGTCTCTCCTCTGCATTGCGTTTGCTCTCTTTCTGACACCGTCAGCCGCAGCTGATGAGGATTTGTAGTGGATCAGGTCGGTTTTGAGCTATTCAATTATTCTTAGTTCTTGCACGATGTAGGATCAGGACCCAGCGACTGGCGTCATGTGTTCAGCCTGTTCGCTTGTTGGTTTCAGCCAGGGCTTATCAACCAGCCAACAATGTTTTTCTCTCACAACAAACCAGCACCAGCCGGACTTATTAGCCCAGAAACCAACCAATGAACAGGGTTATAAAGCAGCTGGAAGTCCAGAGTGTCAGCAAGGAGTAGTCACTACTCACTAGTCAGCGTTCTGTAACAAATGACATACCAAATTTTTTGCAGATTTCAGGAGTGTTTTTTTTTGAGAAAATTTCCCCCTTCCGTGTGAGGAAGTTCAGGAGGATTCTTTTGGATGTTTCACAAGGGTGGTCACAAGTTTGGTTGGTTAGGAGTACTGATTTTCTGCTTTGAATGGATATCTCTTAGCTCTGAAGTAGTAGCTGATATCTCCTAGCTCACAAGGGTGGTCTCAATGCTAACTTCCATGTGGATCGTTCGCAGTTGCTGGCCTGCTTTTGGCTTGGGACCTTGGGTCCGGTCTATTATCAAACTCACTCCCATCACTGTCACTTTAATCCGATTATCACACGGAAAACGCCGGGAGAGCAGAATTACAAATGGTGACAGTCTTGGTTCCTGTCAAAGTTCAGGCACGTGCAAGATGGGTCTGCGCCAGCACAAGCCTGCTCAACCAACAGGAGAGCTTGTAATTCAGGCAAGGAGAGAAGAACATTCAAGAGCACGTGCCATGCTATGGACGATATCGATATGCAGAAGGAAAGAAGGTTTCCCACTTTCCCAGTGTGTGTGTTGTACTGCTGGCGTTGTTAGGAAAGGTAGGCATTGGGACGCCGTGATGTCGACATGTCGTCAGTTTTGGTCTCTGAAGAATGGATACTCTGATTTGGTTGCCATCAGCAGAGTTAACCTGAACCTGAAGCCTTCGACATTTATCACCGCTGAGTAACAAGATGCCAAAGCTTTCACTGCAAACTTGTTTATATTTTTCGAGCTCCACGCTGCAGATTACATGAAGAATACAAAGTTGGAGGTAGAGAGGGAAGAGAGGAGGCTAGTCCAGGCGAAATTGGGCTCCCGACTCTGATCGGTGATTTTTTTGTATAAGATAACTAGTATAGTATCCGTGCTAACGCCACGGCTTCATTTCAGAAATGCACATAAAAACATCCAAACGACTATATTTTTTCCGTAGTTCAACTTTCACACAATTGTATATGACCATGTATATAATCCGGAAAATACTTATGCATAATAAGGCATAATAATAAAGTTCTCAACACTGCACACTGCGGTGTGGCTCAACACTATATAACTTATGCAGTGTTGTATTTCTCACTCAGTAAAATACAAACCGTAGCGTTAGCACGGGCGCACTACTATATTTCTCAAACACCGTACATAATTACATACTAAGGCTCGGCTTCTATCATGGTTCTCTAGGCATTTTCGAGCAATCTAATCTTCCTTCAGTATCTGTCCTCGTTGTCACTTCCCTCTATGTCCAATGTCCTTGTTTTCATAGACAGCACCTTCAACCTGAAACACAAATATGAATGTGATTTAGATAATTTTATATAGACAATTATAATAACACTCTGAGCAAAAACTGAAATTTGCATGAAGACATTCTAAACAAAAGTAAAATTTCCATGGAGAATATTTGGTGGCTAAGTTGTAGACTGCACTTCATACTTGCTTCAGGCAGAAACCATAGCAGACCTGCAACAGTAGCTGGTCGCGAACTGCCTTAAATTTCAGAAAAGATTGTCCTATAGCAGGATATCACAATCCCCTTAGTGCATCTAAAATTCTACCAGGAAAAATGCATATCCAATCCAGTTTTTGTAAAACGACAATTTGTATACCTCCAAAAATTCAATTATTCTAAGGTAACCAGCAAACTCCAAACTCATGAAAACTGGAACATGGTTAATTACCCAATAGCAATTATATATGGTTTGACATCCGAGGACACATAAACACCAATACACCATGCCTCAATGCATTTCACAGAGCCTATAATGCACAGATGGCAATCAAATCAATCTTGGTCGATTCCTTCCAAATATTTTAATTTTTTCCACAGATCAACAACAACAAAGCTCTAAGATGATACATATGTACTTAAATAGTGTATCTGAATTCCATAGAGAAAGGGTAGCATAAATAGAGTTACTTATATTGTTTATGCATAGCCAAGCGTTCTAAGAAAGTGAACAAGAGCAATTTCAGAACAAACCTATATACCACTGATCATTGCTCTTTCCTGATGAATGAAATGAGAAAAGAATCAGTGCCTTTACTAAGCTGACCTATGTCTGGACTATGGGGGATTAACAAGTACAAAGTACAAACATAGATTATAATAATGGGCAAAAGTGGTACTTGACACTTCTTTTGCCCTTCTTTGACTGTTGCTCCCTTCTCCCTTTTTAAGTTGCTTGTTGCTTGCATTAGTTTGGTCAGGGACAATGCATTGCTAAGATAAGATGTCAATCTATGAAATTCCAGAGAAGACAAGAATGACTCTTTGTTTTTTGAGAACAGGGAAGCATGGAACTTAGTAATTTGTACAAAGAAAAGCATGATGGATACATGCATGATATGATAAAGTAACTGCATCTCTGACAGACTGCTTCACCTAGCACATGATGAACCTGAGGTAGCCGAGCAGGGCTTCCAAGGAGACGAGGTGGTGGTGGTGGATGAATCGTTACGCACCTCAAGCATGGACACCGGGCTCGAGTTGTGCTACGCGTCGCACTCCACGGCCGGCATCTTGACGCGGCCCGCCGACTCTGCTTCACTGTCGGCGAACGCAGCCTGCGGCCGTGCCCATTCCTCCTCTGCTTAATCCCAGCCACGGCCGACCTCACCCTTCCGTCGCGCCTCGTGGCCTCCGCGGTGGGAGCAGGAAGTCGAGCTCCCGGTCTGGGTCCTAGTCCTTGGGGCTGAAGCTGAGGAGTAGGAGTCGCTCTCGTGCCCTCAGGTACGCCAGCCTCTCCCACAGCGACACGATGGCGGCTTGCACGAGATCAGAGACCGTGTGCGTCTAGGAGAGAGGCGCTGGTGTGTCTGCGAGGGGGCTCGAGAAAGATGAAAGTTGCGTTGACTGCGGACGTTGTGCCTGCGTCGGGGGAGGGGCGCTGATTCGGCGCTTCGGCGGGGATGGGAAAGGTGTGGGGGATGCGGGGACCGACCAACCTACGGGAAGAGACGACGATGGCAATGAGCAAAAGGCCTGCGGCGGCCGTGACCCCGATGGCAATGGCGGTGTTCCAGCGGCAGCGACCGGCGAGGGGGCCACCGAGGAGACCCGCAGCCACGCGGTCAACGCAGCCCCATGCCCACATGACCACATCGGCTGTAGATGTTCGCCGGATCGCTACATTTTTTCGGTGAAAAAAACAAGAATCGCATGTGCCGGAGATCGAACTCGTCCTCGAACAGCAGCGTGCAGCGGCGCGACGGCAGTTTGGCAGAGCTTCTGGGCGAGCGGCCGCCACGAAGAAGGAAATATTTTTTCGAAGGAAGCTTTTTTCCGTTTATTTGGGGATTCGATCTTGGGTTGTTAGTTGCGGACGCCGTGTAGGGGGCGTGGGGTAGGGCACGGGGTCAGAAGCCTAGCATCACACATCGAATCGTGGCCATTGAGTTTGGTTTAGGTGTTTTATTAGCCTTAGATTTTAATGGAGACGAATTGTTATGTGTATTTTCCTGGGTGCACAATGGTTAGAGGCTCTCAGCGGGGACGTTTTCCTGGGGATCTAGTATAACTTTGATTGGTCCATTATAGTAGAGATTGTGTGGTTATAATTTTTTTTCGGCTTTTCAGTTGATTGGAGAACCTTTTATCTGAAGTTGTATCCAGAGTTCTGGAATTTGAGAAAATAGAAAAGGAATTTTTGCTATTATTAGTCTCTGCACAAACACCCCGTCGCCCTGCCCATAGGTGTGCCTAACGATGGGCTTGGTCCGATCTTCCTTTCTTTTTAGGGATTTTTACCTGGCTCTAGAAAAAATGCCTATGACCTTATTTTTACTTACTTGTATGACCCCGAAACGAAATTTTCTTCATTTTTTGACCTTTTGTTCGTTTTTGGCACTTGATGTTATTAAGTCCGGGGTAAAATGACCATTATACCCCCGGCAAAAAAATAAAATGCAGAGTTTATCCTTGGTGAAAAAATGCAAAGTTTAGTTTGTCAGATTTGGAGTAATATTGCACAAATAAATCACACATAATTTTGACCGGCCGGACTTTGCCGGCGTTGAGGTCGCCGGTGGCGGGGATGGCACCGGCAAGATCGCCTCGGTCTCCCACGTCAGTTTAGGGGTTTCGCTAGTATAGCCGCGGCCCTAAACAACGGTGGCGGCGACAAAGGCAATGTGGTGGTGCTAAAGGCGGCTCGACAATGCTGGCGTGGCGAAGACAGCCATCTCTCCGTGATGGGGGGTAGGTCGCATTGGCCAGCCCGATGCGCACGCAATCCACGAGTCGAGCGACGGCACCTCCACCACGGCGGTCGAGGGTTGGAACAGGCCCAGGCACAGTTGGATCAAGTGGATTCAGCGGGTGAGATCCCTGCGCGGCGCCCTAGCTGGTGGCAGCACCGGTGGCACCCTCCCCCATTCACTCGCTCGCTCGGTGGGGTCTCGGTCGGGGTTAGGAGTTTGCGCTCGATCTCGGTTTGGTGCGATGCAAAACAAGCACAAAAGACAGAAGGGAAATTTAGACATTTCATGTATCTACAAGTGGGGAACCTAACAGAAAATCCTAACAGAGTTGACGGAAGGCCACAGAAGTAACAAAATTTTGTTTTGGGGCCATACAGGTAAGTTCAAAAAAAAGAGGACATACAAAAAAGATGCATTAAAAGAATCAAT